GCTATGATTTGGTTGCGTTCTGGAGCAAATCTTCGTTGCTTCTGTTTTACTGGTTTGAAATTGGGATTGACATTCAAAGAATGACAGGACACGGAGGGATTAATTCCAGGCATGTCTAGGTGACTCCATGCAAATACATCGGCATTGTGAGACAAGAAGTCAACTAGCTCTTGCCGCTCTTCCATGGTCAGTCTTATTCCTACTCTGGTAGTTCGTTCTGGCCTGGACTGATCGATCTGCACATCCAGAAGGGGCTCCTCGGTCAAGTCAACTGACCCCTCCACCCTGTTCTGCTTGGGTGGAGGTTCCTGTAATTGCTATCTGGGGCTTGCCGGTCGGACGGGCGCCTTCCCTTTCCCAGCATTCTTTAGTGTGACGGAATAGCACTCTTTGGCTGCAACCTGATCCCCACGAATATCTATTATTTTATTTCCATCAGGTCCGAGGCACCTCATGACCTGATGCAAAGTTGAGGGTACTCCTTGGACTCTGTGAATCCATCCTCTTCCCATCAGGAGATTGTACGAGGGGTGAATCTCTACAACCATAAAAGTTTCCATAAGAGTTCGTTCTGCAGCTTGAACTTCTACTTCCACCATTCCGACGGGCTCTACCCTCTTGCCATCGAACCCTAACAAGGGATTTCCAGTGGGCTTGAGCCTCTCTGGTTTAATCTCGAGCCGATCAAATGTGTCCCTCGGCATGACATTCGCACTGCTCCCGGGATCGATCAGAACTCTGCGCACCAAGCAGTCTGCCACTGTCAAACTGACTACCAACGGATCTTCATGGGGGACTTGAACACGCTGCAGGTCTGTCCTGTCGAACTTTATCTGTATGGATGCGATCTGCTGGTGTAGAGTATTCACACTGCTGACCCTTTTCTTCATCTGCGCTTGCCGTAGGCGCGCTCGGAGCAGCTCATCTGAATCTTCGCTGGGCTCGGGTCGACCGTGGATAGCATTGATTATGCGAACTGGTTGTGAATTATGGGAGCTTTGTTTATGGCTCTTTTTTACTTGTTCCATCGGTCGATTCTGCTCTGTTGCCGAGCCTTGAACATAACTCGCGAACTCCCCTCTAGCTATCAACATCTCCACTTGCCTTCTCAAATTCCTGTATTCATTAGTTTGATGACCGAAATCGGAATGGAAAGCACAATGTTTAGTCTGATCCCTCTGTTCGAGGGGTTGCCTAATTGGCAGTGGTGGATGAAACTTATCTTTGTTCTCCTGATACAGCCTCGCCAGGGTGACCTTCAGCGGAGTGATCAGCTCTTTCTCCCTGGACCTCTTTTCTGCCTTCCAGGAGGTCTGACGCTGCGGCTGAGCCTGCTTCTGCCTGATCTTTGCCTTGGACTTCTCCTCGGTCGACACGAGCGACGCTGTCCGAGCATTGGCTGCCTCCTCTTCTTCTAGGCGCACAAAGTCGTCGGCTCTTTCATTGAGTTCATCCATAGTCGTCCGCGTGTTCACTACCAGACTGGTATGGAACGGAGTGCCACGTGTCATGGCTAACTTGAAGGCTTGAACCGCTGTAGAAGGGTGGCATTCGATCACCATACTTTTAGTGAGATTAAACCTGGTGAGAAAAGCCTAGAGACGTTCATCTTTGTGCTGTCTCATTGTGAATAGGCTTGAGATGTCCTTTGGCGGACGCTTGTTCCCATAGTACTGACTTATGAACCGATCGCACAGATCTCGGAAGCTACCAATGGAGCTCTTAGGTAAGTTCTTGAACCAGCTGAGCGCCGGTCCAGCTAGGCTTGTAGGGAAACATTTGCACATTAAAACATCGTTTCCGTATTCAGGGCCATCTTCAACTGGATATGGTACACATGATCGATCGGATCGGTTGTTCCGTCAAACAGAATAAATGCTGGCATAGCAAACTTCCTTGGATGAGGGGCATTCAGGATCTCGTCAGTGAAGGGTGAATCAACCGTTCGAGCTGCGGATCGGAGCGCTTCATTCTCTCTTTGGCGCCCAGTGATAGCTCTGTGGGCGACGGTTCTGCTCTCCGAACCGCGATGAGTGACTGTAGCTATGGAAGGCCGGTAGGACGGATCGAACGACCGTTCCTCTAAGAGTTCTCTTTGCCAAGGCGACGCAACTTGGCGGCGATCAACCTCCATCACCTCCTCTCAGTTGAACCTTTCCCGATGTGGATCTAAGGTTATGGCTTCATTCTGTCTGATCTGCTCATGTCGCGGATCAACGTGAGTCGATCCTTCGTGATCCTCAACTGGACGAGCATTTGGCGGCAAATCACGGTGGAGAGCCGACTGACTGTTCTCGTCCTGCTTGCCTTGATGCGCGATATTAGATTGAACACCTCCTTCTCCGGCCGGAGGTGGACGCGAAACCGCGGGCATTTGCTGATGTTGCATTCCAGCTTTCAATTCTGCATTCTCTTTTTTGAGAGCTTCGATCAAGTTCATCAACTCCTCAAGCTTTGTTTGCTGGACCGCCTCCATCGGATTGGAGCTTTCACCTATCATTATTCCTGAACGGAGTAAAGGCATTAATCTCAAGTTCGCGAGTAGATCCGAGCTTCGTGAGTGGGAATTTTTCAGATCTGGTTTCGAATTCTCCGAATTATGCTCACAGTTGACGAGATCTGAATTGTCCGAATTCTAAATCCGTCAGATCCTGCCACAATCGAACAACTCGTTGTTGCGTAGATCTGAAGCCACTTCTGCCAAAGCTTCAGGAACTGAAATTCCTCCAGAGTAGGTCACAATCGCTCAGATCTGGATCCAACTCCCAAAGATCGAGTCTCGATCAACCGAATTGGTCTGAATCCACGCGATATTCCTCATTGATCAACCAAACTTCCATGCGTATTCCCACAGACGGCGCCAATTGAAGATACAAGAAATTCCTTCCCCCTTTCTCTCTCTAGAATTCCTGTATCTCAACCAAAAAGATCTCCCTTTTTCTTTACCTTACTTCTCCTATTTATAGAGATTTACAAATGTCGATGGACTGCTGGATCTAGGCCCGTTCCTCCATGAGTCCCGGTCCTCTTTGATGGGCTTATGCGCGTTCGGCCCATATGGCAGTGCCTTTCTATGGGCCTGACCCACCTGTATGGACTAAATGTCGCGTTTGCAAGTCATATCCGGCCCATGTCCTATCGGGCCTCCTCATGCTTCAAGAAATTTTTTTCAATAATTGTCCATGCAAGTAGGACAGAGGATCAACATGTTTGGTGGTGCATTATAAATTTATGAGTATTCTATGAGATCCCGCACCACAATCATATAAGTAATAATACTAATATTAATAGGTCAGTGGTCTAGCGGTACTAAACTTCTATTTCTTAAAAAGAGATTAGGGATTCAAATGTCAGTGGAGGCATATGTGTGTAAGTATCAACTAGGCAAAAAAAAATAATAATAATAATAAAAAATTAATAAATAAAATGCACCGTGGCAACCCATTAAAATCAATAACAAATACCCCCTATGTCCCATGTTAGTAGTCCCATTTGGCCCTTTGGGAAAATAGAACATTTTAAGGGGAGAATGCATTAATACATTGTCTTCTTTTAAATTTACCAAATTATCATTTCAAGTTTGTATATATACATAATAAAGTTGTAATTTTTTTGAAAGTTTCAATGGTAGTTATGAAAAAATGTTTTTTATTTTCTTTTATTTTTCAACTTGGACAGGTATTTTGGAACAACTTAATATATATAGCGGTGATCAACTGTTTCCTAGTGAGCAGGAAAACTATACTTACTTTTGATTGCAGGATCTAATCCTATGCTACTAGAATCTTTACACTGTTTTTAGGAAACTTATTTTATTTGAATTAACCAAATTACTATTAACTTAAAATGTCTATAATAGATAAATTCATAAAAGGAAAAAAAAAAACTAATACTTTGTTTGGTTTGTAACTATGAAAATAGTTTTCTGTTTTTGAAAAACAAAAAACAGGAAACTGTACAAAAAAAACTTTTGATTCAGTTTTCTGAAATTCAGTTATAAAAAAACATGTTTTTAAATAATAGTCTTTTATAATTATGTGAAAAACCTATCTTAATTTTCTTTCAAACAAGCTTTCATGATTTAGTGTGAGTATCTCCTACAATTGATTAATCTGTGAATTTCTTCGTCTCTCTTAAATATAAGAGTCCATCTATATCATATTTATAAAATAAAGAAAGTACCAAAAAAATTTGATAGATGAAACGTGCAGGAATATTGGAACTGAGAACCTTTTTCTTTTCTTTTTTATTAATCTAATTTTTTCTTCTAATTTCTTCATAGAATTAGTTGATATTTGCTTTACCGTTTGTGGGCAAATAATAAAGAAGAAGAAGAAGGTTTTGTTACTTAGCATTCTATTACCGCGAAGGACTGTTTTGGAATCACTAAGGGCAATTTTTTGTACCTCCAAACCTTATGTAGAAAAGTGTTCAGTTTTGATTATGAAAAGAATGGTACATTAATTTTTATAAAGTTCTTTAGCTGCAAATTAAGTTTTTATATTCAAACAGAGTCAGGTTGCCATTAAAGGCCATGATAGCTTTGCCTCAATAAACAGGCCAAACAGAAATATATAATTTGGCTAAAATCTTATACTTAAGAGAGATGAACAAATTCAGGATTAATCAATTGTAAAAGGAAATATCAAATCGTGGAAGGTTGTTTCAAATTTTTTTTTTTTTTGTTTTTATCATGGATTTGTCTATTATAATCATTTCACTTTAATAATAATTAATGATTTGTTCAAATAAAATAAGTTTCTTTAAATAGTACAAGATTCTATTAGCAGTAGTAATCTTTTAAGTAGTCGAAGATTTTTTTAATCGCTGTTAATATAACTTTCACTATCTCCTATCTCTCGTGTTTGGATCTCTACGTGGACCGAGAATTGAATCTTTGATTCCTTATTTCAGTTTTTAACTTTTTGTCTGACGTGTGCTTATTGTGTTTTATATAGAGAGACATAAATATCTCTAGTCCATGTTTATTTTTTTTGTCCTAGTTCTTTCTGTTCCATCTTTATTTATATAGATCATAACAGAATTTACAGTTCATTTTCTTTTTTGTCAGTTATATGATATAAACCCTCCTCGATTAAATTCGTATACATTTTTGCTTGAACTTTTAAAAAATAAAAATAATTAACCGTCAATTTAACTTGCAATGAAACAAGGAAGCATAATATTTTTGCAAATTTCAAGAACTTTGTTACATCCCTTTGATCTTAAATACATGAAAAGAGATTTAACAAATGAAAGTAAAAGGGAAGGGAAAGAAAATACAAGGCACAAGAAGAAAATAAAAAATAAAAAAAAAAGGAAGAAGAAAAAAAAAATTAAAAAAAAAAAAAAAAAATGCGCTGGACATTGATTCACCAAGGATTGGCACTTCCACATGAACTTAAAAGTTGTTCCAAGTAATCTGCACCCAAGTCCTCCAACACCACCACATTCTCTCTCTTCACCTCTCTCCCTTTACAACTTTTCTTGCTCGTAATTCTCTTCTTCCTCATGGAGTGTTTTCTCTTTAGGGCCACCACAGGTGAGCAACCAGTCTCCCAAGTGTCCTCCATGTCGCGAAGCGATTCCCGAACCCTCTCCGCCGGAAAATTAAGAATAGCAGCCGGACCGCGCATCGAAAAGGCAGCTTGATCATAAGCCAAAGCAGCAGCTTCCGCACTGTCAAATGTGCCCAGCCACACCCTTATCCCATTCCTAGTGGAATCCCTTATTTCGGCTGCAAATTTCCCCCAAGGCCGCCTCCGAACACCTCTGTATGATTTTTCCTTCTTGGGATTTTCTTCCGCTTTGGAGCAAACCTCGTGATCTTCCTTAATTCGATCCGTGGTCGAAATAGTTTCTGACGATGTTTGGGCAGCCTCTGCTAGTATATTGAAAAGAAGCATATCCTCAAAGTCATTTTCATTGAAAGGAAGGGAATTGATGAATTTCTGGTCATCGGAATAAAAAGATTCCGGTGACCCGAAAGAAGATTCCAATGAGAAATCAGAATTTGAGGAGTGGAATGCAGAGGAATTCATTTTGGTTTGAATGTTTTTGTGTATGGTAGAATATGTGACTCTGTTTTTAGTACTACTAGTCCCTGCTGGGGGTGAGTATGTAATGTCTAGACACTGCCTGCCTCCTTTAAATACCCAAAGAATGGAGTGTTTTAGAGGGAGGATTTGAATGTGATATTAAACATAGAAGGGATTATTTAATGGAAAAGATCAAAGTATACTGGGGGCAAAAATGGAAAACAGAGAGAAGAATGGGCAAAATTTTCTTTGTTTTGGCATTATCTTATTTTTAATATATATAATTATTTTCAAGGATATTTGGGCACATGCGTCAAATGTTGATAGGCGACCAGGTCAGACAGACAATTTCTTTGACGTCTCAGCATCACTGGGACCTTGTCCACCTGGCATCCACTTGGCAAGAGATGATGGTGTGAAATGTTTGTGTAACCATTTTTTTTTTTTGTTTTTTTTACTCAAGTGTTTGTGAAACCATTAGTATTATTATTATTATTTTTTTCTCAAATGTTTGTGTAACCATTTGAGCTTTATAAGATATAGATTCACTACATTTTTACATATAAACTTGTCTATCCGTCAATTTTAAAGTTTTTTTTGTGATTGTTTCGTCAAATCTTAATATATGTATTTATCTTAACAATTGTCATAATAGATAACAAAATTGATCGAGACTTTCAATTTTTATTCTGTTGTGTTGGTAGAAATATTTCAAATTTGGATTATTGTCACAATTTACAACTTTCTCTTCACGAGAAATGAAAGTTTGATATGTCAAGATCATACGGAATATTCAAACGATACTCTTTTTTCTTAAGACTTTCCAATCTCATTTTTTCTTCTTGAACAACTTTTCTCTCATATTTAACATTATAGTATTTATTTTAACACAAGTTTTCGATGGGTCAATTATGTATGAATTTGCTTCCTTTCTTCTTCTACTTGCTAGTGGAAATTTCAGATGAATTTTTTCTATTTTTTACAATTTTTGTTTGTCCCATATTAAAATTGGAGAGACAGGAGATAACCTTGAAGGAACATCTTACCTAAGAAAATTTTTGACTAAAAATGTTTAAAATTATTTGGTAATAAATCCTGAAATTGTTTCTAGAAAAGTCATAGCACGTGACACTATGCAGCAAGACTTGAAACTATTTTAATTTCTTCAATATTTCTAAACAATGGGGGCGGTTAACGCTTCAATATAATATTCTTGCGTATGCCTTACAAGGCAATTAGGTCGGTCCATAGGTTGCTCATGCCATACAATCTTATATAATGCCAAAAAATATATAAATAAATTGTATCACACTACAAATTATTTTTTTTATTTTAACACAATTATTACAATAAATTCTTCTTCAAAATGGAGTATATAGCATGGTTCGCCGCATCGGTCAATACGCGATGTATCGTTCGGTTCGTAACCCTTTTTCAATAGTCCGATACTGTTATTCACATTTATGAACCATTCGATTCAATCGATTTACACCAATATTTGTTTGAGTCTGATCGCGACCGTTACTGAGATAGATAATGCGATTGCCAACCATAAAACATAGTTAGGTAAATATTTATATACATACAAATATATCTCAAATCCTTCACCTCTCCTTCTAAAAACCAAACATCATGCAACTATTGACAACATTAATTACTGATTATAGAAATTTAAGGTAGTGTGATTCACGTAACCTCACAATTATGACTTTTATCTAATCAAATTCTTATCGGAAATTAAACCCGCCAACCTATTAATACTTGAAAATAGTTGGTTTGAAGTGTCTAAATACAGGCCCTCATAAATATTCAAAATCAACACACATACTGTTAAGCATTTGAAATTGAAAGTCCTCCAAACAAGTGGATATTATATTTTGACAGTGATATCTCATTCAATCATCAGTCCCCCACTTGATAGATTTTGAAATTCCAGATTTTCAAGTGAAATTTCTAGGAAAGTCCCATTTTTAGTAAGTTAACTTTTCTTAGCATCTCTCATGACATAAGACAAACAAATTAATATATATATATTATTATCAGATTTTATTTCATTTTATTTATTTATTTATTTATTTTATTTTTTATTTTTGTAATTTAGAGCTAGACAAGTAGCATCTTTCTTCTTTATTCTTGGAAGACTGCTAAGCTAAATTAATCGACTCTAAACTTCCAGGCCATTACTATATCTCCTACAGGGGAACAACAATGTTGCTCCTCTATGATTCGTGCTAATTGAGATTTTTAAATTTAATTTCTTACTAGAACTATCAGGAGATGTCTATTATTAAAATATTTTACCGGAATAATTTAATTCACCCTTTAAAATAGTAGACCTTCTCTAAAAATTTTAAAAATAACGCTGACTTCACTGTTAGTGTTGTTAATTTACCAAAGACATAAAATGATAATTATACTCATTGGACTTTTACCATTTCAATATATGGACAAAAATGTTTTTTCAATGGACAAAATTGAACTTAAAATTTTTTATTTCTTGCATGATAGTAGACAACACCAATGAATTTTACTCTTACTAGAACTACAAAGGAAAATCGTGTTATTCGGAATAAAGAACAAATGAGGCGTCTATTATTTATTCCCTCCGTTTCAAAATATGTGTTTATCTTAGGAACTATGACTAGATAGATACCTATTTTTTGTGAGTTACAATTGAACACCTATTTTAAAAAAGATGAATAAATATTTTACATGATAAATCAATAAAATTTACCCTTTAGAATATTTAATCATTAAAAAAACTGTTTTAACATAATGGCATAGGCATGGAATATGGGGGGTGGGGGGATTATACAAGATATTATTTGAATAATAAAATTTTTAACGGGAGGAAACCTATTGTATTTTACTATAACTTCAACTATGCATAAATAAAGGAATGTCTCTTTGATATGCTGTATATGTTATCGTTTGTCTTGTATTTTCATTAATACTAAAATACTTTATTAAATTCTGCTCCCCTTATTTAAAATTTTTAGATATTTTTCACACAAAATATGAAGAAAAAAAATTATCATAACCTACCATTTAATGAATATTGTACCAAACATCTATACAAAAAATTAGTTTATTTTTTATTTTACATATTCTGTTTTTTTCCGGAAAGTATTAGTTAAATATTTTGCTCCATGTAGCTTCTTTTGTTTGTGTGTGTGTGTGTGTGTGTGTTTTTTTTTTTTAATTGATGATGATAGATTTAAAATTAATGGAGAAAAGTTTAATGGACCATGATGGCTATCCCATTGTTTCCCTATTTCATCCATTTATTCTCAATTTATATATATATATATATATATATATATATATATATACTTCCTTTATCTTTTTATTTTTTAAATTAAAAAAAAAACTACATGCACATAGTTGTTGTTATTTGAAAAAAATTAAATTATCACACGAATGCTCTTAACATGAGCCATTTTTGTAAACTCAACTCTCCAACCAAATCTATCCGTAAAACTTACGGTAGGAACATCCCTGACCCACCTTCATTTTTTCCTAGTTACCCCCCTAACCCACCTTTCGAAAAAACCCCTGACCCAAGCTTTCGCTAATAAATACTCCCTTCGTCCCAGTTTAAGTGTCGTTATTGGGAACTGTACGACACTTAAACTGGGACGGAGGGTGTAAGTGAGTAAGTAGTAAAGCACTAAATAATGATCTTATTCTAAGTCACATAATGCGGAAACGATAGCGAATTCGAGAACAGGAGCGTGAAAACTGTATAATTAAGTTATAAGCAGTGAAAATTTGAGCTCGTGCGTAGTGTGAGAGTAGGAACGCGCTCGAAACGTAAGAACAATATCTGTTGAGAATGATTGTGTGACTTAGATCCTACTCATTCAGTTTTAAAATATTTGTTCATTTTAAAAACTGTAACAAGTATTTTAAGACAATGAAATAATAAAAACAAAAATAAAAATGAAACTATGTAGTCACACTTATAAACTTTTGTCTTTTGTGTTTTTTTCTCCTTTAAAATGGTTGTAGAATTTTGTTACCGGACTTGCTTTCAACTATTTTTTCACTTATATATATATATATAACGAGGAGAAGTTTATTACGAGGACATTCTAAGGATGCTTAACTAAGCTCTAATCCTAATGATCAAAAGCTAAAAGGGCCAGTAACTTCTCCCACCTTTTTCTATGAATGAGCTTCTTTTTTCTCTTTTCTAACTCATATCTAGTAATTTTCAAACCGTTCTAGTAATTTTCAAACCGTCATGTCCTATGTTTTTGATTGTCACAGTATATAAGACCCTCCGAAAAAGTGAATCTTATTAAGAAGGAAATTGAAAACCTTAAAATCCACGAAACTTGCAGAGAAGGTAAAATTCTGCCAAAAAGGACCTACTACTAGGTAATCACCTTTAAGAATCGCGATAAAAAAATTGTACATAAGATTTTGAACACTAAAAGTTAAGTATTGAATTTTTTTAATATTAATTATAAATAAATATATTTTTTAATATTTTTTACTTTTAACATCAAATGAAAAGTACAGCATTTTCTATTCATCACTTAAAATTTTATGTTTTTTTAAAGTGATAAATCTATTATGTTATTAAATAATTGTCTAGTCGTGCTTGAACCCCTCTCCTCTTTCTTAGGAACTTCAAATCATTATCAAACATATTTCATAAGTGATGAATCCATTCAAAACTAAGTACATCATCAACCTGCCAAAAATCAACATAATTAAAATTATGGTTCGCAGTATCGGTCACAGTCACGGTGTAATGAATTCGAACAAAGTTTGTGTATCGAACTTGAAAAAGGGTCGTGCATTGAACAATATGACGAACCATGATTAGAATTTAGTTTGACCTAAAACAAAAATCATAAAAAAGAAATACGAAATTTAAAATCTCGATGAAAAAAAGTGTTTGTTGTGATTAATCTTAGTATCAACTATGTAATAACTTCTTATTAAACAAGACATTTAAGATTAGCCCAAACTACTATAATTTTCATGAAAAATGTGAAACGGTCCATATAACTCCAAGATTCCTTGCGTTTTCTTAGTGTCTTTTTCCTTGGCGGTTAACATAAGCACCACCATCACCGCCGCTAAGAAATAAATAAAATATT